ATTCTAAAGATGGTTCTGGTGCCAACTTCCTGGTTTGACTACCCAACTTGCACAGGATGTGGGGGTTTCATTGTGGCAACTTTTCCTCCTTTTGCTTCCACTAAAACCAAAAAGCAGGTTGAGGGTTATTTATTCTCTGGGTAGGAACATCTTTCCAACTTCCTGTAGTTAGCAAGGAAGACCAAAGAGCTGCAGAGACTCACTCCTCCATCCAATTGTCTGTCAAGCAAAGATGAAGCCATGCTCCCTTACAGCACAGCTTGGAGGAGTCCCGAGGGAGAGCCTGGCCCAGCTACTCAGCCTCCCACTGCTATTCCCAGAGAGCCAAACTCTGCAGAGGGCTCCATGCTGAAAGAGATGCAGAAAGATGCAGACCCTGCTCACCTCACAACTGTGCCCTGTCTCTTCTTACAGTATACCAAGATCCATTATCCATGATCTGTTGTTCATAGGTATTGCTTGGTTTACTCTGAGCACTCTTTATAGACAGGAAACACAGCCCCATTTTTGTATAACACCTTCTTTCTGCACATGCACTTCCATTTCTTTTTCAAAAATATTTTATGCATGCTATGCATCCTGATCCCAGCCACCTTCTCGTCACTCTTCCACACAAACCCTCCGACATCCCATCACCAACACATCTTCCTCTACTTCTTCCTTCTCGTCCTCTTCTTTGAAACTCACTGAATCCAATTGTCACTGCTCATTCACATATGGGTATATGGTTGTTTACTGGAACATGAGCAATCTATCATGGTCACTTCCCTGAAGAGCAGTGACTCGCCCTCCCCTAACAGCCACTAACTGCCAATAGTTCCTCAGCTAAGAGTGGGGCATAGTTGATTGTTTTTGCACTTGTGTTACCTCTTACTGTTGAATAAATTGTCTGTATTTCTAAACCTTGTTTCATAAGATAGTTAACTAAACTTTACCAAATACTCATACTTTAATCAGCTCTTCCCTGCTTCCTCCACTTAAAATTATAGAGAAGAATTTTTAATCTGGGTTCTTGGACAGAGCATGTATGAAAATGTATGAGAAGCCACAGGCTCCAGAAGGATATGCAAAAGTTGTATGTATGTCTCCACATGAACACAGTTCTGATAAATAGGACCCATGCCTCCTTAAGATATATAAATGGATTCATAGCTCTCCAAATATTAAGAACTGTTGTTCCTTGGGTTTTATTCTCCCAAAGGCCTGTATTTAGGAAATGATAAACTACACCACCTGCTCTCTTGGGTTTTACCAATAAATTTTACCACTCCTTCTCCTTTTCATTCTGTTCATTGCTAGTCTCATATTTTCTTTTACTTTTCTGAATTTCTGTGCTTTCTGTGTACAGTTTATATAACAGTGTCAGTGGTGAGGACAGAGACACCTGCCCACTGAGCAGTTGTGGGCTAATCTCTTGCAGGCTTTGGTCAAAGCTGGATTTTCTCCTTTGACTCAGAAAAGAATTCCAGGCTTTGAAGAGGAGTTGGATATTTTGTTGAAGATGGTGTTAATGTAGATGTAAGGAGGATTGAAATAAAAGACATCAGGAAATGAAAGAATACAGACTCTGAAGGTAGGCACAAGCTTCTCTAAAAGACATGTATGGAAAGGGTAGGATGGGCTTCTCAGGGGGAACCTCAGTAAATTGTGCTGCATCAGCCATGCATACCAGTTGTGGCTCTTAGATTACATTGCAAACCTTGCTAGAAAAGTTCATTTCCCTTCTTTCCTTTGAGGAGACAGATCACAGGGTGGCTCAGAGAGGCCTTGGATGGAATTACAGTCTGATAAAATAAAAACAGAAGTCACTAGAGTTGCACAAGGTGTTGGAGCACAAGCACTTTCCCTGTAAATGTGGTTTGTTTGTGATGCACACCTTTAATGACAGCACTCAGGAGGCAGAGGCAAGTGGAGCTCTGTGGGTTTGAGACCCTGACTCAGAGAGAGAGACAGAGACAGAGAAGAAAATTGCAGGTTCACAACTGAGAAGGATAAAAGGCCTTGAGTGGTGGCAAATTCGCTGAAGTTCTTTCTTCTTTGCAGACAGAAGGCTTCAATCATGAGGAGTTCCGGTCATTTTTGTTCCTATAATTCCCCCTGTCTTTTCTTCTTGCCTGTAAAAAAAGAAAGAGGGAAAAATGAGATAATATATCCCAAGACTCTGCAAGTAAAAGAATTGTTATGTGTCACTGCAGGTTAGATCAAATTTTGAAAATGAGAAATTAAAGAGATTAGCTATTTCCACATCATATAAACATCAGAGTACAGATTTAGGTCTGTGTTTCAATCTAGGAAGATTCCTTTCACCAAGTTTTTTCTAGAAAGTGAGTGGCCATACCTTAACAATGTCATATTTACATCCTGTTGCTTTTCTTTCATCAAAAAATACTTTTGTTACTTTTTATGTAGAATTGTAACAAAGACTCCCAAATGTCCACGCATTGTTTTGTTCACAGTAATGTTGTCCTTCTTCTCACATTTGCATAAAAATGATAACTGATTATACATTTATTACCCTACAAACTGAACTTCATTTAATCCTGCTATTGTCAGAGCCTTGATAATGTTTAAAACGTAGTGTTTCCAAGCACAGTTCTCATGTTAGGCCTCACTAGGAACCATTAAATGAAATTCTTATAATTGGTGGTTTGTGACTAGTATCCTAACGTCATATGAAGCATGCATGCTATTGCAGAGAGAATTATAACATAGAAAATCATAAATGACAAATGTTTCAGATAGGTTATGCTTCCTTAATTATTTAATTTATTTAACTGTAAGAATTGTGATTTTAAAACATATTTTCTGTTCTTGCATAATTTTTCATTTTTGAGATTATAATTAAACAATTTTCCTTTCCCTCCCTTAAAGTCTGTCCACAGCTATTCTGATACAGTTAATGCAGGTAGAACTTGGGTGGACTATGTAGTACTGAGAAGCTTTCCCAGCTGCAGCTGGCCTTAGAGTCCTCTAAGTGTAGTCCAGGAACAACTGGGACATTTATTAAGGCAATTCCTCTGGCCTCCCCTAGTAGCTGAACAGGACATGCTGAGCTGGGATAGGAGGAGGACCCCAGCAAGTTATTGCCAGGCCTATCCTAGACATTTCTGATACAAGCTACAGGATAGGAAAAGCTTCTCTGTTGAAAAGGACACCAACATGATGCTCTTACCAAGCTTCTCTCCGGATGTCAAGGAATCCTCAGCTGCCTCCAATTTGCACTTTAATTTCCCAACCCAAGTCTACAAACTATAACTTATTCCTAATTAAAAAAAAAACTTTAAAAAATCCACCTTTTTCTGGGAAGCCATTAAATGAAATTCTTATAATTGGTGGTTTGTGACTAGTATCCTAACGTCATATGAAGCGTGCATGCTATTGCAGAGAGAATTACAACATAAAAAATCATAAATGGTGAATGTTTCAAATAGGTTATGCTTCCTTAATTATTTAATTTATTTAATTATAAGAATTGTGATTTTTAAAAGATATTTTCTGTTCTTGCATTATTTTTGATTTTTGAGATTATAATTAAACAATTTTCCTTTCCCTCCTTCAAAGTCCTCCCATATGCCTCTCCTTACTCTGTTTCAAATTCATGGCCCCTTCTTTCTTAACTGTTACATGCATATGCAATCTTAGATGTATAAACACAACCTCATCAGTCTCTATAACATTACTTATATGTATATGTTTGCAGGGCTCACCACTTGGTGTGATATTCCCTGGGGAATCCCATTTCTCCTACTCTTTGTATATGTCAGAGACCTCGTGGGCTTCCCTCATCTGCTTTGGCTATATCTATTGTTGTCCTTGTTCTTCTCATAGTTAGGCAGTTTCACAGAAACTCTCCCATCTTCTGGATCTTACAATCTTCCTGCCCTCTCTTCTGCAATGATCCCTGAACTTTACAGTTAGGCATTGCTATGAATGTGTCACTGGGACTAGGCTCCATATCCATGTTTTAATTGGTTCTGTTTTTTGTGTGTGTGTGTGTGTGTGTGTGTGTGTGTGTGTGTGATGGTCTACATCTGTTCAAAGAGAAGTATCCTTGACAGGGAATAGGGACTACACTGATCTGTAGCAACAAAGATAAACACTTAGAATACAGTTAGGGATTATGCTGGATTAGTAAAATGGTGATTATAGGCTCTCCTCTAAGATCCAGGATCTCACTAGCCCTGGGTAGTTGCCTAGGTCAATGCAATATTTTAAAGAGGTCTTGTGTTTTGTTTCCATTGTAGATGATACCAGAATTATGAATACTATTTTCTGAATTTTGTTAATATAAGTTTATATTCCATGACAATATAATTGAGTTAAATACTTAAAACATCTCCCTTGATAGTGTTACACTGTATCCTAAAATCCTTGTGGGACATCAGATTCTGTTCCAGTACCACATAATATGTTCAGGTTCCCTATTCTCCAGACATTAAGAAAGAGTGAAGTTTTGTAGAGATCTGCTCAGGAAAGCCTAACATAACCAAATCGGGCTTAGAACGTGACTAAGCATAGTGAATTAGAGAAATGGAGAGGGTTTTACCCAGCAGGAGTATAGGCTTTTTGTGTGAAGCTGTTTATCATGTAAGGTCTACAGGAATGCAGTATAGCTTAAGCAGTGGAGTGATTGCCTAGGCAGACAGGCTCTTTCCATTTCAGCACCAGACAAAGTAAAACAAAGCACCATCCTGCCCTTAGTTCCTTTAAAATGGCAGTTGAGATGAGCATCATGGGACATGTGTGCCATTCACAGTTGCTAAGGTCTATTTCATCCTCTGCAGCCACCAGCCACTTTGGTTGTCTAATTATCATATATTGTATTGCAATGAATAAAATGGTATTTCTGATTTTATAGCAATGATATATACTGTGACTTTAACTTACTTTAAACTCCTTTTCACCTTAATCACACTGTCAATTGTTCATATGTAGGTATCCACAGGAGCTAAATTGGGACTTAGTTTTCAGTGCTAAACCTATTTTTTCCTCCATTGCAGGCTGGCTTCATGAGCTGGGAAAGAGACTGGAATCTCCGTACTATGGCAACAATACGATGGGGGGCCCTTCCATCCGAAGTGCTTACATTGCTGCCCTGTACTTCACGCTCAGCAGCCTCACCAGTGTTGGATTTGGGAATGTGTCTGCTAACACGGACGCAGAGAAGATCTTCTCCATCTGTACTATGCTGATTGGAGGTAAGGAACCTTCTTCCAGAGCAAGGAAACAAGTTGAGTCTCCAAATGCCCTCATGTTTTGAGCAGGTCTGAAACACAATAGTGAAATATTGCTTGATACTGGAATAGAACCCAACTAGCCTAACTAGTTAGTAAATAAGTCACAGGCACTCTAATGCACACATAGATTAACAGAGACCATGTGATGCTGATGAGTCCATCTTCTGAGATGGACTCAGAGAAAAGGCTAACTTGTGGAAGGCAAATGTGGCTTAAGCATCATTTGTTTCATGGGAATTCCCTGAGTCTGAATTGTAGGTATATGCTAGAAACTTCCACCAAAGATAGTGTTACCAAATTTTACTCAAACAAGTGTGGTGAACTTTGTATCCTTAATATATTGTTGTTGAAAACAATAAAAACTCCAAGGAGCAAGTCATGTGCATGTTTCCCTCGCTTTGAATGTCATGTCCCATCTCCTGTGCTGAATGCTTTGGTGCAATACTGGGGTAATTCTTGAGGCAGGTCTGTGGGTCATTATTCCATTTAACCAAAATGTTATCACACACACCACTTTTCACAAGCCCTGGATTCACTCTTTGATATTCTACCTTGAAAATCTGGGGTTCCACTCTACAAAACTTTCAACTTTAACAGCAAACTTCACTTCTGCCGGTAGGGGACACCAGTGAGAGATTGGTAGGTAGGAAGAGGGGCAAGGCTCTGGAGTGCTGGCTTTCCTTCAGGGGAGACAGCCTCCCCCATAATCAGCAGTAGCCTTCAGCTTCCAGTCTCCAGAATTCCTCAGAGATCTCTGCATTTTGGGAATGCCCATCATGCTTCAAGTCACAGTTACAGCTCCCTAAGCCTCTTTACCTAGTGTGTCCAGTTCTAGCACCTCCCTTTGTGTCCTGGCACCTCCACACTTCAGTGTTGTTGTTTCAGCCCTCTGCCACCAGTAACCAACTCCTTTATAGCAAGCCCCACTGAAATATAAACATAATTTGTCTTTTCTCAACCTCCTGAGTTGGCATTACTGTTGTTGACTTTTCAAATGACTAATCTGAAACTTTGAGAATTAAAGTAACTTTACAAATTTCATAGCCAGTAAGCAATAGGGAACTCCATTTGAACCAACTTGAATATTTCTCTGTTTCAGTACATAAAGGGAAACTTCACAGAACAAGATACTGCTGGTAAGCAGTAGATTCAGAGCTTCACATCCATCTGGGTGAAGTAAGCATTCTTAGACCGACTTTGTCAGCGCTGTATTTCCCCAAAGCCTATCTTACTATACTCACTTACTGCCTTCAGTGCCAAACATCAGTTAGTGTCATGGGAGATAGGATGTATAAAGTATGCAGCACTTCATCCACACAGTGAAACCAGCATCTCAACACAAGCCTTCCTTGGGGAGCTTATGGACTGGCTTACAGGAGGAAGCTGGAATTTGAGAAGAGAGTTTTTAACAGCATCAGGCAGGGAATTCTTGGTGCCAAATCAGTGAGGAAGCAGAGAAGCAATAAGCAAGAAGGGCCAACATCTGCAGTCTTCCTTGGAAAGAGTTGCTGAAGCAGCATACTGGGACACAGCAATTTTAACAGGCTCCTGGCTGATGCCAAGTGCCAACAGTCTAGAGAAGAGAGAAGACAAGTTCTCATTTCCAAAGAGCTACAACTTGCCAGAAACCATGGTGGCTGCTTTGCATCCACTATTATGATTTACATAATTCCACTCTCCTTGATGGCCCATTTTTTCTTCCTGACAAAATGAGAAGCATTTTGCAAGCAAGCACAGTCTATACTTTTTGAATGGTACCCATGTTTCTTCTTCCCCTGGTGTTGTGAAATGCTCAATGCTGAAGCCTCCTAATTTGATCACTTGAGAAATCTATTAGGCAACTGGACATACTGTTTTGGTCAATCTACCATACTGAGTGATCCTTGACCAGAAATTGTCAAGGTATAATCTATTTCATGCTTTTTACTGAACTCGGGTGGTATATTGCTCACAAACCCAAAATATAGGGGATATAATGTCATTTTGTTAACTCTTTGTTAAATATATTTTGATCAAATTTCCTGTTGCAAAAGCAGTATGTAAGTGGCATTGGAACTGGAGATGACCTAACATCAGGTGGAAACAGCACCACTCTAATTCTAAATGACCTAAGTGGGTTGAATTTCTTAAGGTTTTCCATTTGTATTTGTGGGAATTATAGTGCTGTTAGAATTACCCTGGATTAGAAGAAATGATGCCCAAATTTTAGTATTTCCTAATTAGCAAATTACCTGCACATCACTGAGAACTAATTTAAAAACTCACAACATAGAGCACTTTATTCATGTAATTCCCATAGCACTATAAAACGGATATTATTAATATCCTAAGTTAGAATAAAGGCCACAAAAGAATAAATATGAATGCCAAGCCTCACTAAGACCTGATAATTTTTTATTTTTATTGTATCATATTGTAGAAATTAGTTTTATTTACTTAAGTTTTATGAATATACATAAATGATCTATTTTTAAAAGAAGAAAAGGTAAACTTAAAATTTAAAGTGTATATTACTATGGACTCAAACCTAATCCCACACAAAGCTGCTGAAGCTGGTAACAGTAGAAACAGCTACTATCACAGTAGGCAGCAGCACTTAAGACAGAGCTATGCCATGCTGAGTGAAGGGGAACCAACCTAGGGAGATGCAAAACTCCTTGATCCAAAATCTCTTCACAAGTTTCACATATTTTATAATTTGTCCATAAATAAAATCACATTTTAAGTGGCTGGAGAAATGGCTCAGCTGTTAAGAGCACTTGTTGTTCTTGTAAAGGACCTGGGTTCGATTCCCACCAAGCACATGCTGGCTCACAACTGTCTTTAACTCCAATTCTAGGGGATCCAGTGACTTCTTCCAGGCATACATTTGATGCCCAGATATGCACAAAAGCAAAGAATCATGAACATAAAAATAAAAATAAATAGATCTAAAATTTTCCATGTTGATATATATATATGTATATATATATATATATATATATATATTGATATATATATTGATATATATATTGAATATAAACCCCTGCAATTGTTGAATGTAAACATAAGTGATATATAGGAAGAATATTTTTAAAGTGCATAGTAAAGAAATTAAGTGAAGTCATTTAAAATTTCATACCAAGAAAAACCTACAAAAACTTTGAAAAATCTATTAAATACGTACTTCAAAAGGTTCAATAGCACTAGTGAGAAATTTTACAAATGGTTTGAGATTGTTGAAGGGCATACAAAGTGATAAGTTCAATGTTGTAGTGATAACTGTTTTACCCAACTAAAATTCCCATGTGACCTCTATAACAAAAGTCAAAGCAGCTGTGTATCTGTGTGCACATGTGTCTATGAATGCACAGGTGTTTATAAAAAGCAGTGGGAATCAGAGCTGAAAGACAAATCATGATGAGACAGAAAAACAGAAGATCTGCATTCCAGGTACCAGTGTGTATTGGGATGTTGCAGTCATTAAGAAAATACGATGTGGGGTAAAGAGCACAACAGTGAGCTGATAACATTGAAAGGAGTTTAGAATAAGGCCACATCTACATGGTTACTTCAGAGGTGGCATGACTGACTCTGGACTATAGGTCACGGTGGATTGCATGAAAAATAAGTGTTATTGGGAACCAGACAAAGGCACTTCATGGTAAGGCTGACAACTTGAGTTCAATGCTTGGAACCCACAAGGAGAGAACTGACTCCCACATGTACCATGGTACACTCATACTCACATCCACTCTCACATATGCACACAAATACATACACATACAAGAATAAATAAAGCAATAAAATGTTTTTAAGAGTAAGAGCTGCTGTGTCCAGTGTATACCTTTTTGTTAAGAGCAACCTCAAACCTGGACCCCTACTGAATAGCATGAAAATTAATTGTAAATGGGATTTTGAGGTAAATTGGAAAAAATAAACAGTAAGACAGCATGAGGGCATAGTCTTATGAACCAGAATTTTGTAAATGTTTCTAAAACATTATCTAGGTGCCTCATGTCTTTATAAAGGATTATAAATTGAACTGTCATGTCTCTCCTTATCAAAAGCCATTGCTGAGAGATTGAAGAGTAAACTACAGGAGTTAGGTATTTGCAACCATTTACCATTCAAAAGACTGCTTTCTGATATATTTTCTTAAAAAGGCATACAAATACATACTGGAAAATTGAAACATTTGGAAAACTGTTTTCAATATCTGAATAAACAATAGGTTTATAAAGACACTGCTCAGTGTCATTCATGAAGATGTAAAGCAAAAGCAGAAGCAGACACAATGCTGCCCTCACAAGAACTGCACACTTGCAAACACTGAAGTCCTCTGTGTTTGAGAGATAACCCATGTTTCAGCCTTCTTGTGCTGAGGTAGTGGGTATTTCTATCCAGTCAGCAATAATGTTATGAACATCCATCAACTCTTAATACACCTGTGTTCAGTGACCCAATGATTCCCCTTCCATGTATGTAGCCAGTAGAAGTGTGTGTGTGTGTGTGTGTGTGTGTGTGTGTGTGTGTGTGTGTGTGTGTGTGTGTGTGTGTTTGTGTGTGTGTGTGCGTATATGTTTGGTGTACGTGTGTGTGTGTGTGTGTGTGTGTGTGTGTGTGTGTGTGTATCCTTTACATCTTGGTTTCTTAGGTCATCAATTCCACTACTTTGGGCCAATGAGTCAGAATATCATGGTGCCAAGATCCTGTGAAGGAGGAAAAGGGGAAGAGGTGTCGCATCCACCCTTGACCAGGAAGAACGATGCAACACTGAGGAATCTTCTTCTCACAGTTTATTCGGGAACCTTGATTTACAGGGAGTGGCCCGGAACCGAGGAAGGCGGGGCTTGATATAATCTACATCTACCAATCACCTAACCCCACGTGGTGCCAGGATAGGTTGTCTCTAAGCAGAATTAAGAGGATACGTGGCCTTTACCAAATTAGGAGTTGTTTACCACAGAGAGCACTCGCCG